TTTGTGACTGGCCCTGTGTTTTTCTACATAACCTGTGTGGTGCCTGAGTTCCTCTATTGTCTTACCACCTATTTGGTTAGTGCGGTTTGTGTGGCACTCGCTATTAGAGGCTTCATTTTGCTTGACAGCAAGGTTGGTATTCTTGTCCACACACACATCTATGCTACATGCACTGGTAGCCCTATAATTTTTAGATTGCCGGGGACAGGGTTGTTCTGTATCAATTAACTCACTGTTCCCGCTGTTTAGTTTAAATTTTCCTCCAGAAAATCTGTGAATGTATAGCTGAGAAACTCAGTCCCTTTCTTTGATGGATGCAAACCATCTCTTTTGTACATCTTTTCATTGGACCAGCTACAGACATCATGACTAATATATCCAAAGCCTTCCCCTTTACACCATTCCTTTAGCCACATATTGAATTGTGCTATGCGCTGGCCTTTTCCATTTTGCTCCTTATACACTGGTAAAACCTCTGAGAAAGTAAGCCTACAGCCTATTCTGCTAAGTTCCTTCCCCAAGCTCTGGAAATCATTCTGCACAGAGAGTACATCTTTTTGGGACAGATCGTTAGTGCCAAGATGTACAATAGCCTCCACATCACAGCCCTTGCTGCCATTCTTGATTATTTTAGAAATACGTTTCTTGTCCCTACTGACAGTAGCACCTGGAAGACATCTGACCTCTTTCGAAGCCTCTATGTCCTTTCCTAAATTTACATCCCTTATAATTGAATCACCTACCAGAAGGTAGCTTCTCTTTTTGGATGCCTTTCTGTTCTTGCATGACTGATGTGTAGTAGCTGATTCACACTTCTCCCTGTCGAAATCTAGTTCTTCATCTCGGACCACAATCCCCTGCTTATTTGAGCTATCTTCACAAATACCTTTACCTGTCTCCTTAATGTCCCTATTAAGGTCAGCAAGGGCACTGTAACTGTTGTGCAGGGACACAGCAAAAGCTTTGTGTTTATGGTTCACAGCTCTCACCCTGCCAGATCCCACGGTTGTCCACACTGTCCTTCTCCTGCAGGATCTTTGTGGTAGAGGGGGCTGATAGCACAGAGGCTTACTAGAGTAGAGGGGCTGAACTGGATGCCTAATTTCTGCCTGAAGAGCACAGATTACAGACCCTAGATAAATGATCTGTCCTTGTAGACTAGTGATTTGTTTACAGATAGGACAGCTTCCAAGTTTGAAAAGGGTACTGCGATGTTGTTCATGCCAGACATGCAGTTCTTCCAAGTGCTATGCCCCTTTTGATCTCAGGACTGCAGTCACCACTTTGGTTGATTTTAGATCTGAGGAAGATGAATTCCTTTACAGGTAATCTGCAAGTTACGAGCGTTCACTTAATGCTCGTTCAAAGTTATGTGATGAGCGCCCCCTAGTGCTTACAAGTAAGTCCCAAAGTTACAAATATTGCAGCACCACGGTAGTCATTCACCCTTACAAACGACCGCAGTGGCTCTGCAACATTCACCCTGGTTATTCCCTCCCTCCCCACCCCCGCCTGGGTCTCCCTAGGCACCAGGCCTTCAATACTCACCATGCAAAAATCAAGATCCTTCACTTTATTGGCTGCTCCAGGCCTTTGGTGCATTTGCAGAGAATGGAGGCCTAAAGTAACGCAAGATCATGCGAGATCAGTGGGGCAAGATCTCACTTTACTGATCTCACGTGATCTCATGGTACTTTAGGCCTCTGTTTTCTGCAACAGATAACAGAACCGAAGCCGGGGGACACTTCTATGTGTCTCCAGAGGCTAGATCTGGGCTCTGGAGGCCTTTTCCAGGCCACTGCAGCCCAGATCTAAGGCCAGGAGAGGCTTTCACGCCCCCTCGAGGCCCAATCTGGGCTCCGGAGGCCTTTCCCAGGCCTGATCGGGCCCGGGGGGAGGTTGCGGAAGCATTCCCCAGCCTCAGATCCGGGCCACATTGCCCTGGAAAAGGCCTCCGGAGCCTGGATTGGGCTGCGCGGGATGTGCTGAAGTGTTCCCCGGCCTCAAATCCAGGTGGCAGTAGGAACCGCGGCAGAGAGGAGATGGATCTTTTCCAGGTGAGTCTGGCGTGGCAGGAAGGAAGGGGGCAGCATGCGGTACCATAGTGGGTTGGGGAGACCTTGGGGCCCTGTTCCAGCACTAGGCCCTCTATGGCCTTACCCACCCTGAGATACCTCCTGTTCGCTTAATGAGCTGCGTGCATTTTAATGAGAAAGGGAGTGATCTCGTACCTCGAACGAGATTCACTCTATGAGTTTTTGATTTATGAATGGAATGGGCAGGCTCCATTATACTCGTAACTCAAGGACTACTTGTATTGTTTCAATAGTTCCATTGTCAATCTGCACTCTGACCTTTGTTTTCTACAGTTGTCATTATCCTTGGGTTTTTTGATGTTAAGGTGCAGTCTAAATTTTTCACTTTCATCTTTAACTCTCAGGATTAGCCATTCTAGATCCTCTTGCTTCCACAAACAATGCTGTATCATCTGCACATTGGAGGTTGTTGATATTCCTACCACCTATTTTACCCCATTGGTAGATTCCTCCAAATGTGCATTTCTCATAACTATTTCTGTGTACATGTTGAATAGTATAGGTGACAGGATGCAACCTTGTTGAGTGCCTTTTCCAATTCTGAACCATTTTGTGTCTCCATATACCATACTTACAGTGGCTGCCTGATCAGAGTGGTGATATTCCAGTTCTGTGAGGCAGTTCCAGAGTTTGTCATGGTCCACACAGTGAAAGCCTGTTGTGTAGTCAATAAAGCACATGTAGAGGTCTTTTTAGTATTCCTTTGCTTTTTCCATCATGCAACATAAATTGGCAATATGATCATATGTTCCTCTTCCTTTCTGAAATCCTGCTTATACATCAGGCAGTTCTCTGTTGGCAGTTGGATTCAAATGTTGCTGGATTATTTTCAAGAGAATTTTACTCATATGTTGTATCAAGGCTATGGTTCAGTGTTTGGAACAGTTTTTCATATCATCTTTCCTTGTGATAAATATTGAACATTTCCATTCTTTTGGCCACTTACCAGACTTCCATACACTTTGACAAAGTGTTGTCAGTGCTTCTGTTAGCAGCAACTCTGCAGGAATTCTATCAGCTCTTCAGGCTTTGCAGTTAGGCAACTCATTGAGTGCCCACACTATTTCCTTCTTCAGGATATCTGGTTCTATTTCTGGTACATCAGCTCCTCCTCTTACGGCTTGGCCTTGTTTTTCATTTGGGTAAAATTGTTCTTCATATTTCTGCCATCTTTTTCTGATTGTTTGTTGGTCATGCAATTCCTTCACATCACAGCTCTGATCATAGCCTTTCTTGCCATAAAGGGATTTCTGGCCTTTTTCACATAAGTGTAACACTCTCTTGTATGACCTCTCATGACTGCTTCCTCCAGTTTCTTACATTACTCAGCCAGTACTTTTCTTTATCTTTTCTTGCCTCTTTCTGGAACTTTGTATTTAATTTTTACATTTCTTCCTTGTCACTAATGTTTTTGCTTCCCTTCTCTCTTCTGCAGTTTCTATTGTAGCTTCTGATATCCATATGGCCAATTTCTTTGGTTTCTTGTATGTAATATGTTCTTGGGCTACTTTAGTGACAATAGTTTTTATTTACGGTACTCCCATAGCTCATCTGGTTGTCTTTCTGTGATGTTGAGCAGTGCAAATCTGTTCTTAACTTCAACTGCTAGGGGAATCTTCTTGATGTCAAATTTCTGAATCATGTGTGATCATTTGACACTGCAGCACCTGAACTTTACTTTGGCAGTTAACACATTGCATGAGGATAAAAGTGGATATATCAGAACTGCAGACACAAAGCAGTCTAGACCCAATAGGAAATAGCCATATGTTAAACCAGGGGTCTTCAGACTTGGCCCTTTTATGACTTGTGGACTTCAACTCCCAGAATTCCTCAGACAGGCAGGCTGGCTGAGGAATTATGGGAGTTGGAAGTCCAAAAGTCATAAAAGGGCCAAGTTTGAAGACCTCTGTGTTAAAATATACTATATGAAGGACATACAAGAAAAGAAATGAGTAAAATTTTTATACTGGCAAAGAGATGATATGGTGGTAAATGCCACATTTATCAAGCCATTTTTCTGGGACTACTTCCTCAGGTAGAGAGAAGGATTGAGTATCAGAGCATGAAATAATGCATAATCTGACCAATTACAATATACAAATTAGTGCATGGAGCTAATGAGATAGGTGGATGATAGATACATCACCCCACCCATCAAGTTGTTTCCTTTGTGCAGCATAAAGGACAGATGATGCTTTACTTTCCTTCTCTATGCTTTACTTGATGCTTTACTTTCCTTCTCTATGCTGCTGCTGTTATATACATAAATGGGTTAAAGCTGGAACAAGCAAAGATCCTGTCTTTGGGATTATCCTTGCTAATCATCTCCAGTATTGCTTCAGAGACACTAGAAACCTGTGTGCCTTTTGATAGACATAGATAATGTAGATTGTTGATTTTTCTTTTTGGTGCCTTCAAATTGGTGTTGGCTTCTAGAGATTTGTTGAACTTGTCCCTGCAGTTTTCTTGGCAAGAGTTTGGAAATAGTTTGCCCTTGCCTTCTTCCTAGGGCAGAGAATAACTGGCCCAAGGCCACCCAACTGGCTTTGTACCCAAGGTGGGACTAGAACTCACTGTCTCTGGTTTGTAAACTGGTGTCTGAACCACTACAGCAAACTGGTGCTCTTAAATTGTTGCTATTAACTCTTGCCTATTTTTCTCTTGCCTATTGTCCTTGCTTTTGCCTACTTTTTGTCCCATGTTAACAAATGAAATGTTTTTTTGATCTTTGATGATATTTAATAAATAAGCATCAAGCTATATTTTTTTGGCTAGCTGAACTGTGTGACATGGTCTCTGCTTCGTGCTCTAATCTGGATACATGAATTGGCTGGAAGGCTGCTGGGTGCAAACTAAACCCAATAATTTTCCAACAGTAGCATCATCCAAGAAATAATTTACCTAGTGCAACTCTTGCAGCAGATGCATCATAGTTGATCCAGAAGGATACCCAAGACAGAATTGTAATTAGAGTAGAAGGCATGTAGGTTTGCAGAATGAAATAGCCGATATTTCTTTTCAGTCGAAAACTCAGGGACAGACGGGGGTAAGCCCCTATTTAAAAAAAAAATGAAATGAAGTCATGTCTCAAATGTATTTGTTTTCTGCTAATGTTCCAGTATATCTTTGCAGCTGCTTGGTGCTTACCTGTTGCAAACACTACTCTTTTTGAGATCATTTTGTAATCAATAATCGAGAACTGAGGGAGCTCGATTTTATTAACTCCACTAACAGCAGATTCCCCTCCATTCCAGTAGAATTCAATGTCATCAGTTGTGTATCCATCTGCAGTTGGAGACATATAAGTAAGTATGTTAATTTGTCAGCTAAATGTTTTACAGTTAAAATTTCTAAATAAAATTTTAAAGAAGACATAAGATTAGGAGACGTAATTTAAATTATAGTACTGTAAATATTTCACAGCTGTGTAGCAATAAATCCAGCCTACATCATACCTTTTTTGAACAAGCTACTTTTGTTCCATTTAATACTGCATATTAAATTTATGTCCCTTTTTATGGTACTTATTAAATTCTTGTTTTAAAAAGCAGAGAGTCAGTTAAAAGATTTTAGAGAAATTTGTCCATTTTTCTATCAAATACAGCATAGAACTGCCAAATATTATAAAATTTAATGATATAGAATAGAATAGAATAGAATAGAATAGAATAGAATAGAATAGAATAGAATAGAATAGAGCTGGAAGGGACCTTGGAGGTCTTCTAATCCAGCCCCCTGCTCAAGCAGGAGTACCTATATCATCTCAGACAAGTGATTGTCTTTTTAAAAATCTCCAGTGATGGAGCGCCCATGATTTCTGGGGGCAAGGTATTCCATTGGTTGATTGTCCTCACTATCAGGAAGTTTCTCCTTAATTCCCATTGTTTAAGTTTGTCAAGATCTTTTTGGATCCTCAGTATGTCTTATGGGGTATTGGCTACTCCTGCCAGTTTGGTGTCATCTGCAAATTTGATGAGTTCCCCTTCAATTCCCTCATCTAAGTCATTGATGAAGATATTGAAGAGTACTGGGCCTAGGATGGAACTTTGTGGTACCCCACTGCTTACTTCTCTCCATGTGGATGTAGTGCCATTGAGGACTACTCATTGAGTACGGTTTGCCAGCCAGCTACAGATCCATCTGATGGTGATGTTGTCTATTCCATCTTTTTCCAGCTTACCAAGGAGTAGGTTGTGGTCTACTTTATCAAATGCCTTACTGAAATTTAAGTATACTACATCCACAGTATTTTGCTGGTCTACTAGTTTAGTCACTTTATCGAAGAATGAGATGGGATTGGTTTGGCATGATTTGTTTTTAACAATCCCGTGCTGGCCACTAGTTATAACTTTGTTTGCTTCTAGTTGTTCACAGATCTGTTTTTTGATTATCTTTTCTAGGATCTTCCCAGGTATTGATGTTAAAAAAATTGGTCTGTAGTTCCCTGGGTCTGTTTTTTTTCTCCTTTCTTGAAGATGGGGACACATCAGTCCTTTTCCAATCCTCAGGTACTTCCCCTGTGCTCCAGGATTTTTTAAAGATGTGGTGCAGTGGTTCTGAGATAACATCTGCCAGCTCCTTCAGAACTCTGGGATGTAATCTGTCGGGTCCCGGTGATTTATATTTGTCAATGGATCCATCCAGCTGGCAAAATGTAATGGGAGTCTTTAATCTCCTGAGGGGTATTCCCATCTTCCTCACCAGTTCTGGGCTCACCATGCATAGGGTACAGCCCGAATCCAAAAGGGTGACTAGTTTTACTGTCTTCCCAGTGTCAGGAATGGATAGTTCTAGGGGCACTGTTATGGGGTCAATTGGCCCAGTCACCAACAGGTTGTCTTCATTGTTGTCCTCCATTTCTTCCTGGTCACTGTTTCATAGGACCAGAACTCGGCTACTGGACTGCAGTCCCAAGGGAGCTCCACAGCCTCCACGGATTTCATGGCAGTTTCTATGGATTGTGGGGGGAGGGGTTTCCAGCTGGCAGGTGGTCCCCTCTCTTAGCAGGCATCTTGGTGCAGCAATCAGCAGTGTGGTCAGTGGTGAACAAAGCCCCCCTCATTCAAGATCTTATTCAAGAGGGGGGCGTGGACCTGGCAGGTATCACTGAGACCTGGCTGGGCACGGAGGGGGGAGTCCCCCTCGTAGACATGTGCCCGCCGGGTTTCCAGGTATTCCATCAGCCAAGGACCCGGGGTAGGGGCGGTGGGGTAGCGGTCATTATACGGGAGAACCTATGCCCAAGGGAGACCACTGTGCCTCAGATAGACGGTGGTGAGTCCCTCCTGGTGAAGTGGGGGCAGGGGG